CTGTCGGGTCGCTCTGGTGCTGTTTGTGCTGCAGGCGTCGTGGCTGCCATCGGCTCTGCAGGAATTTTAAGTTGCTGCTGACAGACGGGTGAACAACAGCTTCCTCTGATAGCAGAACAGAACTCAGTGTCATTTATGTTGATGTTGGAGGAGAGAGGAGGAGGAGGAGGAGGAGGAGGGGGAGGGGGAGGAGGCAGGGGAGAAGGTGAGACAGCTGAGAAAGAAAGAGACGGGGTAGGAAAGAAGAAAAGGAAATAGAGAAGGAAAGGAAAAGGGGAAGGGAGGATGTAGAGCGGGAGAGAAGAGAGGAAGGTGAGGAGAAGATGAGAAAAAGGAAAGACAGAGATCAGAAAGGAAAGGAAAGAAGGAGGGAAGGAAATGAGGACACAGGAAAAATTAGAATAGGAAACAAGGAAAGTGGAATGTAGCAAAAATGACCTGGAGGAATGTAAGAAAGGAAGGAAGGAAGGAAGGAAGGAAGGAAGGAAGGAGAGGAGGAGCTGAAAGTAAAAGGAGACAGGAAAGGAAAGATGTATGAAAGAAAGGAAACGAGGAAGGAAAGGAGGATGTAACGAAGGAGTCATGCTTTGAAATCAGTCCAGCCGTTGTCATGGCAACAGATACACAACAACACTGTAAGCGTGCACACGGCAGTGTTCTCATTTCAGTCCAACACGGTTCTCCATCACGACAAACAAACTAAACCTGTGGGAAGAAAAACAACAACGCTGACGTTAAGCTCCAAAGGAAACCCCAGAAATGAGTTCCGTGAAGAACCTTCCTGTGTGGTTCCCTGAAGCAGTGTTTGGAACTCAAAGGTTCCTCCACTGTGGTGACGGTGAGGAACCCAGAAGGTTCCCTGAAGAGACTCAGTGGGACGCCTCACTGATGGTGTTTATGGAGTAAAACGTCTGACTGCTGGAAGCCAGGCAGCACTCTCAGTTCCTAAAGACGCCGTGACGTCATCGACCAATGACAGCAGCCGTTGCTGAAGCGACGGCAGAGCGGGCGTGGTCGCAGCTCTGTGGGCTGAGATAAGAGGCTGCTAGCACACAGTAGCACACTCTGGTTTTATGTTTTATATGTTAATGAAGTGACGTTAGTTTGTAGAAATCTGTTTTCACTTTGACATGAACGAGTCTTTTTGGTGAATTCTTGTCCCGTTAAGTTGCTCCTGGTTCAGTCCGGAGTCACAGTGAAGGTGGTGAAGACTTCACATAGAAAGTGTCCCTGCTGAGACCCAAACCCTGGAGCTGTGAAGTGAGCAGTGGCTGCACACAAGGTGCTGCAGTTTGTTCTGCTCAGCCCAGAATGAAGCAGAAACCCTTCAAGGATTCACACATTTATTTACCTTCTGTCACAGCTTCATGTCCCAACACAGAGAAAACATGAAACACGTGAAGGTCAAAGAACACACGAGTTTCCAAATGAAGGAATTCAAACGGATCTGAAATCAGTCACTTCAGGTTCTTCGGTTGAGTTTTCGGCTCCGTCGATGTCTGAGGAGCCGTGAAGCAGTGACTCAGCACTTCTCGGGCTCTGACCCACTTACAGCTTCAGGCGTCAACATGCTTCACATCTGACTGCGTCACGACTCGGCAGAAACTCTGACGAGACAAACCGGCAGGATGAAACCGACACGATGGTCCTGAAGGCGACACGTTTTTACAGTTTCATCTGCAGATCGAGTGCATGAACAATCTGACAAACTGTGTTTTGTCGTGTCGTAGTTTTACACGTCGACAGCTCGTCGTGTGGTCGTCACTCAGCTGCAAGCTTCACATAACAACATGAACAATTTAGAAACGATGTCATCTGGTCTGGACGATTAAAATTAAAGAATAAACAAAGTAGGAGCTCATCGCTTCAGTGAGCATTATTAATTAGATCACCGTGATGCTTTTCAGCTGCCAGCTTCTCAGACGCCCCACAGTCCCTGAATGCAGCACCAAGGAACAAAAATGTCCATAAAGTGTAGAAGTCATGGTGCAGCAGCTTTATTCTGGATGAAGGTCTGCACCTTCTCAGGACCCCAGTCTGTCTGTGAGGAACCAGTGACCGGCACTAAAGACCGCCTCAGGGATGTTAACGAGATAATTTACGAGTCTTCATGCAAACACAAAGACGGAGAGACACGCCCAGCGAGGGTTCAGCCAGTCGGGCGTCTTTATGTCAGAGCTACGACCTAAACCCAGCGTGGTCCACAGAAGATCTGCCTTCATCCTCTGCTGCTGTGTGGATGTGGAGATGAAAAGCAGATGACATGATGGAAATAATCTGTTAGCTTAGCAATGCTAGTTGCTAGCATAGGTAAAGTGACTAATCAAGCAATGCTAATTGCTATCCTATACTATGAATGCTAGTGATTTGCCTGGAGATGCTGTTGACTAGCCTAGAAATGCTATTTGCTAGCCTGGGCTGCTAGTGACTATCAAAGGAATTCAAGTGACTAGCCTATGAATGTTAGCCTAGGAATGCTTGTGATTAGCATGGGGATGCTACTAACTAGTCTAGAAAGCTCGTCAGTAGTTTGGAGATGCGACAGACGAGTCTTGGGAATGCTAGTATGTAGCCTATGAATGCTAATTGCTAACTTAGGGATGCTAGTGACTATCAAAGGATTTCAAGTGACTAGCCTATGAATGTTAGCCTAGGAATGCTACTAACTAGTCTAGAAAGCTTGTCACTAGTTTGGAGATGCAACAGACAAGCCTTGGGAATGGTTGTATGTAGCCTAGGAATGCTAATTGCTAGCTTAGGGATGCTAGTGACTAGCCTATTAATACTTGTTGCTAGCTTTAGGATGCTAGGGACTAGCCTTGGAATGCTAGTGACTAGCCTATGAAGGTTAGTTGCTAGCCTGGGACTGCCAGTGACTAGCTTAAGGGTCCAAGTGACTCCCCTGTGAATGTTAGTTGTTAGCCTAGGAATTGCTACTGATTAGCCTGGAAATGCTAGTCACTTGAATATGAATGCTAACACCTAGTCCTGTGATACTATTAACTAGCCTAGAAATGCTAGTTGCTAGCTTGGTGATGCTACTAACTGCTAGTTACTAGCCTAAGAGTACTTGTGCTAGTTTGAGGATGCTAGTGATGTTAGCGGCTAGCTCAGGGATGTGACTCTCTTGCATTGGGTAACTTGATGTTCTTTCATTGTTTCCGCTTTTCTCCATTTTTATGCACCGACTGAAAATACACAAAAACCGTTGATTACACATGGAGTTGATCCAGATGTTGATCCAGATGTTGATCCAGATGTTATGAGACTTCTCGTGACTCTGTCTAGTTTCTTCGGGCTTCATCCAGTATTTGACTTCAGACTGATTTTGTTGAGGTTCGAGGCTGAAACACGACTCGGTACTTTCCTCTGGACCGTTGAACGGTTCGCTGCTGTGAGCGCTGATGTTCTGCTTCAGTCCGATCCTGGCGGTTCTCTTTGTTTCTGACCCGTTCAGTTTCGTTGTTGTTGTTTTCTCACATAAATCTGAACCCACGCTTTGTGTTTTCAGTCAGGTGTTGAAAGGAATTCTGGGAAACGTAGGAGATCAGGCGGTTTAGAGGCTAGAATCACCAGAGAACTCAGCGGCAGCGAGAGCCTGAATTAGTGCTGAACCTGGCGGGGGCCGCTCCATTTATGCTCCCAGACGGGTGAGGCGGGTGGAGTTTACCTGAGGCTGTGACCCTGATGAGCGCTGGACTCGGGGTGGTCTGGTGGTGGGAGGTCTGCCAGCTGATTGGACGGCTGGGTGTGGTAACCTAGCAACCTCCACATATCTCCCAGCATTCCTCTGAGTGTTCTCCGTCACGGCGTAACCGAGACGCCGATCAGCTGAACCCACCGAGCACAGCAACTCGCACAAAACAGAAATAAATTTATATCAGTGCAGTAATTGAATTTCCCTTCTGGCATAAAGAAAGTATTTTTCATTTTTTCATTCATTCATTAATATATAAATTATACATGTGACTGATTCATGTCTGTGGTGCCTTCACTGTCTGTAGTAACAGCAGGACGGTCTGTGGTGCGTTCACTGTCCGTAGTAGCAGGCTGTGGTGCGTTCACTGTCTGTTGTAACTGCAGGACGGTCTGTGGTGCGTTCACTGTCTGTAGTAACAACAGGACGGTCCGTTTCCGGCAGATTTAAGCGTCAGATCCGTTTGTCTCGTGGCAGCTGAGGAGCTAAAACGTGGATCTGAAAATAGAGGCAGCAGAACTTCAGAGGTGTCAGAACCCCATCAGCTGCTCCAGGTTCTGGACCAGCTGCGGTTCTATCTTTAGCTCCGCTCACCTGAGATCAGACGCTACCTGTGAGCGCTGACGTGGAGGCCGGTTGATCGGACCCGTCCCGCTGATCCGTTTCTGACTGCGTCTGTCTCTGTGGTTTTCTGGCAGGAGGCTGGTGAGCTGAGAGGAGAGACCCGACCGGACCAGAACATGTGAGTGGAGCTCCTCTAACGTTCATGTTTGGTATAATCGGACCCTCCGGTCCTGGTGATCTACTTCCAAATCGCTGTCTGACTGAGTGACGGTGTTCAGTCGGACGGACAGTGAACGCACCGTCCAGCCCTGACACCTGATCCAGCCGATCGATCGGGTTATTGATCACCAGGAGCCGCCGGACTGTAACCAATCTGCCTCCAGAGACGGACTCGGACCTCTCGGTCCTGTTCTGACCTTCAAGGCTTCGTTTCTCCTTCAGCAGCTTTAGGGAGGTGAACGTGTTCCTCCTGGTGTCGGTGGTCCAGAAACCTCCCGACTGGCTCTGGTTCTCCAGAACTAACAATGAGTAAAATATGGTTCAGTCCAGAACAGAGTAACAGCACAGAGGTTATAAAGTCTGTAATGGACACCAGCAAAGTCCTGGACGGGCTTCCAGATGTTCTGTCAGCTGTACACAGCAGATGTTGAACCAACCAGAGCTTCCAACAGAGAAATGAGATGAAGAAGGAGTCTGACTGTCAGAGAGAATGAATAAAACACTGAAGCTCAGTGGAGTCCAACTGACTCACAGTTCATATGGAGCAGTGAGAGGAACAAAAGAAAAGTGGAAATATAAAGACCAATGAAGAAAATCAGAAAAATAATGATTTATTTGATCGTTTTTGGATTTATTTTGTCATTTTTACATTTTTAAAAAATAATTTTTAAAATGCATTTCTATTTTTACATTTTTTTTTTTTTAATTAATGTGGTTTTTTTTTCATTTTTATTATTATTTTTTAATAATGTCGCCTTAAAAGCAAAGGAAATATGCACATTTTTCTGCACATATTTCTATTGCTTTTATGGCGACATTTAAAAAAAAATGTTAAATTTAAAAATAAAAAAACAAAACATAAATGTAAAAAATATTTTAAAGATAAATAATTATTAATTTTCTTATTGTATTTATTTGTATTTCTACTTTTATCAGCCTTTTCTTTTATGGACTCATTTATGATTAATATCGCTTTATGTTGCCACATTATTTATCTTTTATTGTATTTATTCTTTAATTGATTTATTTTTGTAATTGTCAGAATCTGTGTGTTGTTACAGAACCAACACCTGTTTAGCTCTTAATTAGGACTGATTATATAAATGTGTACTTATATATATATGACCGTATTAATCTTGGACTTTCATTAAATAAACAGGACATGTCTGAGAATGTACCAGTGGGCTAACAGTAAAGAATCAACGCTTCAAATAACCATAACGTCACGGGTAAAGTTTCCTCGACTGTTTGAGCCAAATTATCGTTGCAGGAGTCGCTCCTGAAGTTAAGCAATGAGCAGGAGTTCATCTGGACGTTTGTGGTGGAGTTTGAGGCCAGACGGAGGTTTTCTTTCAGCTGCGAACACATGAATTATTCATCCAGCGACTCTGAGCTGCAGCGCTGATCGATGCCGGAGGCCCAACCTGCCCGACGCACCGATCAGCAGCAGAACTACAGAATCATTTACAGACGACTTGATTAAAGAGTTCCATCAGTTCACTGCCAGCAAGTTTATTCAGTTTAGTTTGATCAAAAACAAATACGCAGACTCTAAAAAGTAAAGATGATTATAAAAGTGGCGTCTTTCCAGCATTCGTAGCTCAGTAGCTAGCTGTAGTTAGCATTGCCAAGCTAGCAGCTAGCATTTCTAGGCCAGTCGGTCGAATCCTGAAAATAAAATCTGTATTATTTATATGTTTAGTGACACACAAGAGAAATGTCGACAAAAATAAAAGACAAAACGGTTAAAATAGCTCAAAAATGGCTGTTTTTCTTCTAGAAATATTTACCATGTTCACGTTTAGCGCCAAAATATGAGCATTTGTCCACAAACTTCTCCAGAAATGAATCAGAAATGAGCATATATGCAGCGAAAACAAGTGATTAAAGCAAAACAGGAAGTGAATCTGTGCTGATTTATAAAAAATACTAAAAATACATAAAAAACCAATACAGGAATGATTGAAGTGACTTTTATGAAACAATCTCAACTTTAAAAACCTGCTGCTTTAAAATTTAAAAAAAAAATTAAAAAAAGATAAAACCTGATGCAGCAGATGTGATATTATTATTATTATTATTATTATTATTACTATAAATCAAAGGAGTGTATCTGTGTTAATTCATGTTTCTTTAAGAAAAACAAAACAACTTAAAATTAAATAAAAACAATATGTAATGCGGTCATAAATAAAGAAATCATCTTGAATTATAAAAGTGCTTCTGGACGGTAACATAAACATGTGATCGTGTCCCTGATGCAACAGATTTATTGATGTTCTGGGCTTTGGTATCTTCATGTATTTGAGGTCATTTACTGATCAGAGCTGAAGGAGGAGATGTTCAACACTTCTCCACATGAATCGTCTGTTTCAGGACTTTCTGAACTCCACGTTTTCTGCTGTCGCTGTGTTCCAGGTGCTGATCGGGCTGCCGAGGCCTGAAGACAAACAGACATGATCCCTTTTTCTCTCTGAGGTAACAACACCCTGGCTGACCCAACGTTACCCATGATGCCGCGCTGCGTGTGCGCGTCGCACAAAAAGCCGCCGACTCTGGAACAATCTCTTTGTGTCGCATCACACAAAGCAGAACTGGCAACCCGGCAGCTGCAGCAGAGCCGCGCGTAGCCGGGGTCGCGTCAACGTCTGGGCGCGCACACGCAGCGATGCCACCACAAAGCCTTTATGTTCATTGGTTAGCTTAGCTTAGCACAAAGGCTAGCCGACATAGCTGCTATGGCGTGAACATGTCAGAATGTTCCTCACAGGTCCTCTGGCTTCAAAACATCTCCGGCTCAAACATCTGCTAGAGCAGTGGTTCTCAAACTGGGGGGCGGGACCCCCATGGAGGTCCCAAGATTATTCCAGGGGGGTCGCCAGAGCATTGTAAACATAAATAAATAAAGCCTACATTTATCAGATAACTACTACTATATATTAGTAGTAAATATTAGTATATATATATATAAATATAGTATCAGGACTGTCAAAATAAAAGTGTTTACTTCCTCCCAGTCCTTTTTTGAACTTGTTAATATTATGATGTGATTATGCCATATTATTATTATTATTATTATTGTTATTATTTTATTAGTTACTTTGTTTTTATACTTTTTTCTGTTCATTTGTTTGAAATAAATTCATTCATTCATTTAAAAGGAAGTTAATGTAAAAAGATGAATCTGTGGAGTCAACACATTCATTTTTAACGTCTTAACAACAGCGTTATGACTCATGAGATGCTAGAAGTTCAAACTGGGGGTCACGAACACAAACTGATGCTGTCTTAGAGGTCGAGGCTCAAACAGTTTGAGGACCACTGTGTTGAAGGAGACCTGACACCTGAACTCTTCAGGGAAATGTTACCTGAAGTCGGGTCATTTTCTCGTTTATTCGGACTCTTGGCGGCCGATGGAGTCGCCCCCTGCTGGCTGTGAGAAAGAAGCAGCTTGAGAGCTTCAGATGCTGAAGCTACGTCCGTTAACAGCCCCTGCTGCAGTAAATGTGATATAGGTGGTGGCCCATGAAGAGCCTCCAGCGCACAGGGTTGCGCTGCTGCCCGAGGCCGTGGGCGTAACTCTGCTCTCCACAGGGCTCTGGTGTGGAACGCCTCCGCAGCAGATTTCAGTCGTGTTGTTCTGTCAGCTGATCCTGAGTCATCTGTTCAGCACACAGTCGCTGTTCCAGGACCAGCGACGACGCAGGAGAGCCGGCATCCAGACTCAGAGTTCCTGCATTCAGGACCAGCATGAGGCAGAAGGAGGCGCCTCATTGGTTCAGAGCCGCAGCGATCAATCGATTCATCGCTTATTGGTTTCACGTCATTTCAGAGTTCTGGACTGTCGATGGTTTCAGGAAGCGCTGACGGTGCTTGTTGTCGTCACAGACGTCTGACAGCAATAGAACCAATTAGTATTTTTAAAAAGCAGATTTTTGAGGTGATTATTTACAGTTTAGTTAATTTTTTCATTTCTAATTTCATATTTACGCTTTGATTTACAGCCAACTCTGTTTCTGTAATGTTTTTAACTTTTATCTGTAATTCAAGAAAGCAGAGGAAATTAGTTTTCATTTTTCAGTCCTTAAAACGTTTAATTATTCTTTTATTTATCAGTGAAATCATCACAGTTTGGATGATTTAAATCCAGTTTAGAAAAATCTTCCAGCCACACATGAAGGACGGACCACCACTCACATGTTCATTCTGACTTTGTCTGATTTTATTACATATTTTCTGTAATTTAACAAAACACAGGACACCTATAAAACAACAGTAAAGCGTTTTAAAAGCTGTAAAACAGACCAAAACTGTAAATACTGGGTTTTAACAAATACTGAATAGTTCCGACCAACATGGCTGCATTCATACTAAAATGTTCTTAAGGTCTGTATATAAATCCACCGATCAGCTGATCAGTCAGAGCGTGCTGATTGGTTCCTGAGGCTGCGGTTCGCCTCCATCCCGTGTGTTTAAATCGTCTCTGACTCGTGTGACAGTCGCTGTAAATGACGTCTGATTAATTGATTAATGGCTCCGAGAGGAGACGGAGTGTTGGGTACATTTCCCATGATGCCTCGCTCTGCTTCACTCACGGTTCCTTTGTGTCTGTGTCTCTCAGGAACTGACCAATCAGCAGCCAGGATGATGCCCAAGGTAAGGTCATGTGACTTCTCTTTACTGGGTGTCTCGCAGGTTTCTGTGTTTAGCACCAATATGTTAAACTGGGAGCAGAAAAGACGTTTCAGGTTCGTTTCCAGTGACGTAAAACTAAAACGTCCTGGAGGTGGAGACGTCCAGCCTGGTCCTCACTTGGGGACGTTTCAATAGGCTGCTTGGTGGTTTCTGCTTTGTTGGGACGTGAGGACATTTCTAGATAGAGAAGACGTTTTTGAAGGTGGGGACATTAGTGGGATGTCTTTCTAAAGATACCTGAAGACTGCCTAGAGTTCAGAAGTGACTGTAAAGTGTGGACACTGTGGTGATGGAGGACGTTGTTAGAGGGTGGGGACATGTTGAAGACACTTTTTGGAGACGTTTTTATAACACCAGGACGTCTAGTCTGGTCCTCACAGACGTGGCGCTCAGGTCCAGGTCGGTGCTGCTGGTGTTCAGCTTTCAGAGGCCTGAGTTAGTGCTACGTCACCGACGGTGCTCAGAAAGGCCCGAGCACCACAATGTGTGTGTCTGTGTGTGATTGTGTGTCCCTTATTGTGTGAGCAGCAGCTGGCCCAGACGTCTCCAGGCAGCGTGTTGTCCCTCAGAGGAACCAGCGTTCCCGGATCGCCGGCTGCTGCCATCGTGGTGAGACGCCGGCCCACATGGACCTGTGTTAGTGTTCAGATTAGTCAGAGCGGTAATCTGTGATCTCCTGGGTTCCGTCTCCAGGCCCGGGTGGAGGACGGCGTCATCGGCTACAAGGACCTGGCGGCGCTGCCCAGAGACAAAGCCATCCTGGACATAGAGAGGCCCGACCTGATGATCTACCAGCCTCACTACAGCTACAGCCCTCTGGAGGTGACGACCACGTCCTGCTTCTACCCGTAGCTTCTCAGGCAGCGTCAGCATCCCTGTTGCCATGGTTACAGGGATGCTCCCAGTCTCCGGCGTTCTCCCAGTAACAGGTTTTATGTAAAATACGTCGGGTCATCCATCCACAGCGTCGTCACTGTTTGTAGTGTGTTGGTTTGGGATGTTCTAGTGGTCACCGAGGACGTTGTAGGGCTCCTGAGGGGTTCTAGTCATGCTTTAGGGAGTTCTAGTTATCACAGAGGCGGTTCTAGGGTTCTAGTCAATCCGTCTTCATTCTATGAGATGTTCTGATCAGTACTGAGGATGTTCTAGGAACCCTTAAAGTTGTTTTAGTCATGTTCTTGAAAGTTCTTGTTATCAGTAAGGAGGTTCTGTGGCTCTGTTAAGTGGTTCCCATCATCCTTTCAGGTGTTCTAGTGGTCACTAAGGATGTTCTAGGAGCCCTTAAGGTGGTTCTAGTCATGCTTTAGGTAGTTCTAATTATCACAGAGGAGGTTCTAGTCAAACCGTCTTCATCCTTTTAGATGTTCAGATGAGTACTGAGGAGGTTCTTGGGCTCCTACGGTGGTTCTAGTCATGTTCTTGTCTTTCTATGGCATTTTTAGGTGTTTCCCAACATTAGTTCAGGTGTTCTAGTGGCCACCGAGGATGTTCTAGGAGCCCTTAAGGTGGTTCTAGTCATGCTTTAGGTAGTTCTAGTTATCACAGAGGAGGTTCTGTGGCTCTGTTAAGTGGTTCCCATCAGCCTTTCAGATGTTCTTACGGCCACTGAGGGTGCTCTGTGGATCATGACGTGGTTCTAGTCATATTTTTGGTGGTTAATGTCGTCAGTTAGGGAGTCACAGGAGTCCTCTAATAATCTGGAGATCATCGCAGGGCTTTTAGCGCTTATTTGGGTTCTGATGGTCATGTCAGAGGTTCTGGTGGTCCTAACTGGGGTGCTCTTATAGATGTTCAAAGAGGCTCTTGTGGTCCTTCAGAAGGTTCTGCGGGTCTGTGAGGTAGTTTCAACAGAGTGAAGAACAGAAGGGACGTGGAGACTCGGGGGGTTCTAAGGGTCCTTCAGGGGCTTTATGAAGTCACATTTAAGGAAGTTCTTCAGGTGTTTTAGGAGGTTCTAGTAGTCGTCACAGGATGCTGTGGGTTCTTTTGGGGGGTTTGGGTCAGCTGAAGTGTTCTCCTGGTGGCTGTAGATGGTTTTGTGTTAATGCTAGTAATGAACTGTTCAGTGAATTCTTCTGAAGCAGGTCAGACTAAACCAGCTCCTCACCAGGTTTGTTGACACAATGTGCAGTAACTCAGGGTTTTATGGGTCCTCTGGTTCCACAGCGTCTCAGAGGGACGTTTGTTTCTTCTCTGTGTGTCTGGGACATCCTGGGCATCAGGAGGAACCGGCCAGCGTGACGCCGGCTGCCTGGTCTGCCCGCCGCTGGTTTGCCGGTTGGTTAGTTGTGCGTCTGGCTGCTAACGAGGACATCAATCTGCCGCTTAGAGCGCCGACAGCTCGTTAGCACAGCTGAGCCCGAGTGTGTGCTGGTGGTACTGGAGCTGGTTCTGTGGTCGCATTAGACCGTAAATGGTTCAATTTCACGGTGCAGACTTGGAGTAAGGCGAGGTGAGGGTAGGGGCTGGGGTTCCATCTGAGCTGACCGGTTGGTCTGAACAGGACGGACGAGGAGCATCTACACCTCCTCACGGGCATTTGTTCCCTGAGTTTGTCTGCTCAGGCAGCCTGCTGAGCCACGTCAGTTTTTAAGAATGAAGAGTAAGTAGAAAATCCTAAAATCAGGTCAGCAGTGTTTAATCTCTTTTAATGCTCTCTTCCTCCAGAGGTCCTTGTCTCCTCGCTCCATCTCGCCTCCTCCCTCCCCAGAGGTAAGTCCCCGTTCGCCCTCCTCACATGTTCTTCAGCTTAAAGTGTACGTTGTGATGGTTCACGTTCACCCTGTTGGTCCGTAAATCGAACGCGCCGTAGAAATGTGGTCTAATGAGAGCCTGCAGCTTCGTGGCAGAAGCAGATCTCCGACTCCGGCGTGGGCGTTGGTTTATTATTAGATCTTCGACACATCTCTGCCGGTTCGCTCTGAATCATCCCGTTGTTCTGTGAGCTCTTATGAAGCTCGTTCTGGCTCCTGGTCTGCAGCAATTTATGCGTTTACCTTGTGGACCGGCACCAAGTGGTTCTATGAGTCCTTTCAGTTGTTCACCTGATGAGGTTCTGTTGACCTCGGTGTTGAAGTGGACATTGAGGAGCTTCCAGGGGTCTAGATGGTTTTATTGTTGGAGTTCTTGCTAGTACGGGTTCTAAGGTGGTGCTAGCGGTTTGTTCCTAACGGTTACCGAAGAGGGAGGTTCTGGGGGTCATTCAGGGGGTTCTAAACAACCTTCAGGACATTCTGGAAGTCTGATAGTCATCACAGAGATTCTAGCGTTTCTTCAGGGGATCGTTGTGGTTGTAGATCAGGTTTCTGCAGGTGTACTGGTCACCGAGGAGGGTCTCAGTCTCCTAAACGTAGTTCTAGTTCTTCTGGTCGTTCAGGACGCTGCTGCAGACCTTCATGAGTTTCTAGTGGTCATAATTAAAGAGCTCTTCTAGGAGGTCCCACTGGTGCTCAGAGGCTTCAGGACTTTTCAGGGTGGTTCTAGTCACAGTTTAGGAAGTTCTTGAGATGTTTTATCTAGGATATGCTGGTGGGAGTCCTGCAGGTGGGTGTAGTGGTCACGGGGTGGTTCTGTTGGTTGCTGAGGGGGTTCTCCTGGCGTTTTAGGAGGTGCTATTGGTAACGAAGGAGGTTCCCCACATGTCTCAGTGGTTTTAGTGGTCACTGGGGAGGTTTCACTGGTCCCTCAGGTGGTTGTATTCATCCTTTAGGAGGTCCTGGTGGTAGATGAGGAAGTCCTACGGGTTCTACGGGTGGTTCTCATGGTTCTCTCTGAGCTCATATAGGTCACTGAGGAGTGTTGGCGCTAAGCAGAGCTCTGATCTTCTGCCTGTCTGCGTTACCAGAACCTGTCCAAGGAGTCCAGGGAGTGGCTGGAGAATCGATCTCCTGGAGGTTCTTCGCCTGGTTCCACCGTCCAGACCAGCAGAACACACAGCACACACACCCCGTCAACGCCACAGACACCAAACCCGCCAAACACACCCAACACACAGCCGTCTGGTACCAAGAGCAGCGTGCAGCACTTCCACAGGCCCGGTAAAGTCCCGCCTCCTTCCTGTCACACCTTCATGCTTCACCATCTGAGCTTCCAACAGCCGGTTCCTCTCCACGCTGCTTCTGGGCCGTGCTGCTTTTATCTATTGATCCAGCAGGTTTTATGTTCACGCAGAGTCTGGTGCACATGGTTCTGTTTTGTTTAAAATGAGACCCGTAGAAGGAAGTGATGCTGATGAAACAGCTCAGAGCTGCTCACTTCCTCTGACTCGTGATGCATTCAGGAACCATCAGACAGTGGAAAACCCAAACCAGCTGATACATGGTGCAGTTCTGACAGTTCTTTTACCAGTGACACACCTTTCAGACGCGCTGCTGGGTTCAGAGCTAAGCCTTCAGACGGTTCTACCAGCTTCACAAACGGGTCTTTATGGAGGAGCGGCTGAAGTGGGCTTTTCTTTCTCTCTTTCAGAAAACGGCAGCAACATCTACAAGAAGCCTCCCATCTACAAACAAGGTGAGCTCCTGCCGTGTGGATGTGAACCCGGCGCTGCTCCGTGGCTGCAGTCCCAGTGTGTCGGCTGAATGTGGGTCAGCCGCCGCC